CCCCACAGACCGTGACAGACAGTCACGTGACTCATCACAGACCGTGACAGACAGGGCTCTGGACCCATCACAGACCGTGACAGACAGGCCCGGGATCCATCACAGACCGTGACAGACAGGCTTTGGAACCATCACAGACCGTGACAGACAGGCCCGGGATCCATCACAGACCGTGACAGACAGGCTTTGGAACCATCACAGACCGTGACAGACAGGTTTTGGACCCATCACAGACCGTGACAGACAGGCTTTGAACCCATCACAGACCGTGACAGACAGGCTTTGAACCCATCACAGACCGTGATAGACAGGTTTTGGACCCATCACAGACCGTGACAGACAGGGTCTGGAGCCATCACAGACCGTGACAGACAGGCTTTGAACCCATCAGAGACCGTGACAGACAGGCTTTGAACCCATCACAGACCGTGACAGACAGGCTCTGCTTCGTCATGAACCACGAAAGCGATTGAACGGAGACGAATATTAATAGAGGGAAAAAAATATTCGGTAAATTTTTCCTTTAAGCTTTTTGAGTTTGTAAAGAAGGTTTCACTTGATTATTAATAACTGCTACATCGTGTTTCACATTTTTAATCCCGCAAGGGATTGCGCTAACAGCTTTTTTTTATAGAAAGATTTTAGAGATAAGTTGAAACCAAATCTATGAGCCTTCGATATGATTTGAAAGTAGAAAGTATCAACTGCGAATCAGCTACCAGAGATTATTTATCTAATCAAGATTTTGGAATAAGCACATAATCTTTTTGATCAGATAGCGTTAGAAATCATAGACTTTAAATTTTCTTGTTCGATATTCGAAGGGAAGAAAGGCTCAAACTTTTCACTGTAAGTAGGTCACTAGTCTATAGTTATGTAAAAAAAGAATCGTTAAATGTCATTCAGTAGAAGAGGAGTTATAAGCATTTTTATGTTCGGAATTCAAGCAGTACCATAGTAGAGCAAATCACCCACATATATATATATAATGATTAATTATGTATATATTTATAATTAATCATTATTTTAATTTGTTTCTTCTTTTTACATATAGTTTTTGATCTTTACCCTAAACCGGCAACGACACGGATATTCCTTCCTTCCTTCCTTCCAATCTAAACACACTCGTCATTTTGCGTAGTAGTCTGTAATTTCCTTTTTCTTCAAAATATTATTGTTACCATTCAACATCATTTCAATATAGCGCCGAATATTAGACCAGGTAAAATATATTGTCCTACTTTCTTGTAATTATTTACATAATAATGCAAATATTCAATTTAATCTAAAAATCAAATCTAATATATGTAAGGATGTAAAATTTACATCAAGTACACTCTTATCAGATGATTTTTAGTTCAGTTATACTCTTTATACACTGATCTAGTTTTTTAATAACTAGGCCAAATATTCATTGATATTTCTTTTCTAGATTCAATCTGTAAGGTAATAAATTAACTTCAATATGGATAACAATATATCGACAACAACCATCGATCCAGTTGTAGCTAGACTAACTGCTGCTCGTATTGGGATACAACATATTGGTCAACCAATTCTTTTTACACTTGGTATGATTGGATGTACATTAAATATTGCAATTTTTCTTCGTCCTTCAATGCGCATAAATTCATGTGCTATTTATTTTCATGCAAGTTCATGGGCTAATTTATTTTGTTTAACATGGGGTCTGTTTGTTAGTATGCTTGCTTCATTTACCAACAATAATCCACTAACATATAATTCGGCATATTGTAAAATTCGTTATTATATACTTACTGGTTCTCAATTGGCAAGTCGAGCATGTGTTGTCTTAGCATGTCTAGATCGTTTTTTATTGTGCTCACAATCAGCTCAACAACGATTATTCTGTCGACCAAGTGTAGCAATTAAAGTTATGTTAATAACTATTGTCGGTTGTGCTTGTTTATCAATCTACGTATTAATAGTTTATGATTCCTTTCCTCAACAACGTCAGTGTAATGTTAGTTCGGCAACGGGAAGAATAATTGATACTACAGTTTTATTCTTATTCAATTTTGGAACTCCAGCTTTGTTAATGAGTACATTAAGTGGAATGATTATATGGCGATTAAAGCAGAACGCAAAACGGATTGGTCGTCAAAAAGTAAGTATTCTATATGGTTTTACTTTTGTTCATCTCTACAATAGTCTTTTGAGTAGTTGGTTATTCAAACCTTGATAACTCTCTAGACAGATCATTTGATAAAGATTAAACTATTTTCACATAATCTTTCAGACGGTTTTTTTTGTGGTTGAAAAAGTCAAATATTATCACTTGAAATATACTTTATTCTTTTTGTAATCTAGGTTCATGTACGTAAAAGAGACCTTCAACTCTCAACTATGCTTATAGGCCAAGTGGTTTTGTACATTACAACGGCACTTCCATTTGTTAGCAATTTTGTTTATTTGACAGTAACACAGTACGTTCCATCATCAAGTAAATCATCATATCGTATTGCAGCAGAATCTTTAGCTATAACAACAACAGGCAGTTTTGGTACCTTTATATTCAATGCAGTAAGAATTTGTATTGCGCATAGATTTCTATTTTAAAATCTGCGATTTTAGTTAACATTTTATGTTTACACGTTGACAGCACCAAGTTTTCGTCGTGAACTGTTTGGATTGATCGTTCCAAGACGATGGATGAATCATTCTCAAGCAACAGAACAATTTCAACTGTCCCAAACTAATCGAGTTCATCCATTTCTTCGAGATGCTAAATCGATCAATTCTCAAGTCGAACGAAATTAATCATGATGAATTTTGGTAAATAATATAGATGAATTATTGTTCATTCATCATTGATCCTTTAAAATTATTTGATTGCATACTTTTAAATCATTTATCTCGTATATTTATATGTTGTTCAGTTTCGTGACATCTATGTTATCTTATTAATGTAGTGTTTTGAATGAGGAAAGGTGTAAGTGTAGGTTATTTCTATACGAACATCAACACTCGTCCTCTAAAGCACTGCTAAATAAAAACTGTCGGTGATAGTGAAAATTTAACTAATTATTCTTAATTTATCGTCGAAATATCATCAAGCGTCATTTTGTAAAAGAGTAATTATTATAACTTCATTCAATGATCCGAAGAGTACTCAACATTGCAGAACAAAAAACATAAACTAATATAAAATATATATTTGCATCAGAATATCCTTCAGTTGAACTATTTATTATTTT